CGGCACCGCCCCGGCACCGCCCCACGCGGGACGGGAGCGCACGGGCTGGGCCGCCCCCCCACCCCGCTCCGGCAGAAACTCCCCCGGCTTTTCAGCACATTTCCTCCCCAAAGCCCCGCGGGGGCCCAGGAAGTTAATTAAGCCACCCCCAGCTATTATTATTTTTTTTCTAAAAAAGGTCTTTTTGGCACTCCACGCTCCCTCCCCTACCTGCACCCCAGTGGATGGGTGAAGCTGCGTGCCTGCTGGTTACGGTCGCCACTCTGCTATGTATTCTAGCTTTTTTTGTTTGTTTGTTTTAAGTCGCAGAGAAGTCTAACTGAGGAAACTTTAGCACTGTTTGCTTTTGCTAAAAAGTTACAGCGCTCGCACCTTTCTCAACTTTGCCTCCTCCTGGCTTAGGTAACGGCTCCACAGGTTTCTGGAGACAAACAGCTGCGTGCCCTCCCAGCCCCAATTTTGTGGAAATTCATGGCGATAGCACCAGCCAGCCTCAACACCACATCACCTCCCCACTCAGCCTCCAGGCACTGCGGGGAGAGAGACCTTGCTCTGTAACTGTGAAAATGTGAACTGAAACAGGTCGGTGCCTTACCCCAGCTCCCCTGGTTTCCAGTTTTCGGAAGCACCAAGCCACCAGAGAGCGAAGGATCATCTCAGCATAAGATGCTTTTCCTACAAGTAAATTACGCGATGTGCATTGCACAGATGACATGAGGAGAGCTTCCATTGCGCCCTTGACTTTTCTGTATTTTAAAAGGTCGCACCAACTACTCCTTAATTCTCCTGTAAATCCGCATTCAATCTGATTTCAGAAAAGATAACCTAACATTCAGAAAACAAGCCACAGTTTATTCATCCATGCTAGTTAGGGGCGTGGAAACTCATCGTTTTTAGAAACGGCATTTAAACATTACCACCCTTCACTTTTTCATTTCCATCTCCTTATTAAGCCTAACGCCAGACAACTACGCAAAGGTTGGGGGGGGCAGTGGGCTCATCCTCCCACTCCGCCCCAGGGTGGAGGTTTCTGCCTACCGGCACCGTATAGCTAGAGGATGCCCAGACCCCTGCGGCAGCTGGCACAGGCGCGAGCGCAGCCCTCAGCTCCCCAGCCGCCCGTAACACACTGCTGCCCGGATCTCGGCTCCGGTCCCATCTCGCCCCTGCCAGGCCCGTGCAAGGCTCTGCCCTCCCCCCAGCCTGGGGAAGGTAAAATTTGCAGCTCCCCAGTGCTGTTGCTTCTCTAACCTCAGTCATTTTAAAACCACAATTTGCTAATCCTTAACACGTGATTTTAACACTGGTGCCAGTTCTGGTTCAGGTACAAACCTGCCTAAATCGCTAATGAAACATGAAGAAGGAAGTCCCCTCCTCCCCATTTCCATCTTCCCTCCAAGGCTCCCAAAACAGAACGCATTCTATGATAAATCCCATTTTTCTACATATGCAATTAAGCAATAAAAGGGGGTGAGGGAATCAGTCTTGCTCAGTAATTGTCCTGGCAGAGATAATCTAGAGCTTTAAAGATCCCTTTACAATGTCTCTGTAAGATGGTGTTTTATTACTACCATGCCTTTCTTCCCATAAAACTAAGTAAACTTAAAACAAACAGAAGACCTTTAATCTCAGGTGTCAGTGTCACAGTATGATGACCTGGAGGATTTTGTCATGGTACAGCCTGGATCGACGTTACGAGCTACAGGTATCCTTACAACTCGGTTTTATGACGTAGTACTGCATGCATGAAGAAGCAAGGAAGGGATACCTGGAAGTTTGCCATCCAAAGGAATAATTATTATAGTCCCTCCAATGTGAAAAACCCTGTCTTCAGCCAAAGAAGATGGCCAAGGGGATGGGACCGTTTTCTCCAAATTCCCTAGAGAGGAACGAGGTTTTTTTTGATTAGTGGAATTTCTTTCTTATGAACATGAATCAAATTAGTTTCAGCTGCTGGTTTCTGGGGTCTACCAACACACAGTTACACTCCATTTAAGGTCTAGGACCCACATAGGAGGAGTGGGACCTTATGCAGAGGTGACTGTTTCTGACCATACAGCCAAGGTCAAAGGAGGGCAGCCTGCAGGGGAGGAACCAAGTACTTAGGTCAGATAGACTCTGCCGGAAAATAACATGTACAGCCTGGACTAAGCCACTTTAGCGTTCATTATTACACCTTCAAAGACAGCTTTCGCTCAACACCTCACCACCTTTTTCCACTGAAAGGTCCTATGGAGGACTGCTGTGACAGATTTCACAGTGGGTTTAGTCATTACCACTCCAAGACTCACCTGTACAGAAACCAGCACGAATCACAAGAGGCTGCATTTCCTTAGCTTAACACAAAAAATTGGACCTAGGCACATCCTTAGCACCCATGTGGAGGTTGGGGAGGGCAAATGAAAAGATACTGCAGAGCAGTGGGATGAAGAAGCAGATACAACACTAGCAATGACCTTGGGCTGGAAAACGTGGCCATTTCCTTCTACAGAAATGCCCAAGTCTAACCTAGCATTAAAGAATTTCCTCTGTAGGAAACATTAGTGTGACAACTTCACACGAACTGGTGGTAAACTCGATACTGGAGCAGGAAGCACCACCAAACAGGAAACCAGTTAGAGCAGAAGACGGGGGAGAGTGGTGGGGATAAATGATTTCTCATAACATCTGCAAAGTATTAGTCTGTGCCCTCGTGCTGCTGCTCTGAAGAGATGCTCACAAGCACAACACAACAGTCTGAGGACAGAGAGGGACCATCTGAGGATGAGCGCCGGCAGGTCTCGCAAGGTGCGCGGCAGAAATCCTGGGCCTGCTGGGTCAGGAAGGACTTTTAACAACTTCAGGAGATTCAGGCTCACCCCACAAGAAATGGCTTAGGCGAGCGCTCCCCCTCCATTTCGGGAGCGCAGCCCCTCGGGGGTACGAGCTCAGTTTGCTCTTCCACAGACAGCAGACACTTCCTGGAGGGCAGATTTTTTAATTTGCTGGCAAGCAGCAACTGAATTGATTAAAATTGCAAAACACCTTTTCAGACGACTCATTTCCCTATTACAGTTCTTCGTGTAAAGAAGTGACAGCTATTGTTTTCAGAGCTCTTAACTCCAGAGCTGCTGAAAGAGGGTCAAGGGGGCAAAAGGGGAATGAAATAAATCAGAATTTGAAGCCGTTTCTCTCTCTCCCCTGCAAAGTGCCCATTTTCCAAACTTTGCAAAGTGACATGCTCCAATAGATATTTTAAAATACTTTTTTAAAAATCAAATGACCTAACACTTTTCACTTATTGAAGCCCAAGAAACCCAACACTATTCTTTAATATATAAGGTCACAAAAACCAGTAACAGAAAATGACTAAAGCTAGCAACTTGTGCATTTTTCTTTTCCTGAAAAAAAGGAAAACAACTGGACTCCCCTGAGAACGGAAAGCATTTCGTCTTATTCTCAGCGGACCACTTTGGTATTTGGAAAGAACTTGTTCGGAGCCTTTTATGCAAGGCTTCCCTCTCTTTTTTACTACAGCCAAAGGTAGGAGTTAGGCCTCTCTAACCCCACCAGTGTTTTCCTTCATTGAGTCTTCGAAAGTCAGTTAAAGAATTAAAGACTTTAGAAACTGTTTCCACATTAAAACAAAAAACAAGCCGAAACACCACAGCCGCGCTGCATGAAAATGGCATCAAGTAAACGAGCACCTAAAGAGGCAACTCTTCACTTCGTACCAATGCCCATGATTCATTTCCCTAGCATACCTGTGCTTTTCAAAATCCTACTGTTCTCATTTTCCATTTTCTCATAAAATATGCCAGCAGTGAAATCCAGTCCACAACTGGAGTTAAAAAGGAGTTTCTACACTGATGAATGCGATAAGAAGCACTCGTCTGCAAAACCGAAGGCCTGGCCTCAACGCACCGGGATGCGACTCCATTACTTGCCTCAGCGCCGCCTCTTTTAGGAAGGAGGTTTCCCAGTCCTCTGAAAATAGACACACACCTTTATTTTTCCAATAGCATTAACTTCTTCCAAGAGATCAATCCATAGTAATGTGGGTTATTATTTGGGAAAAGGTTTTAATTCAACAAAATCCTTTGCTCTAGACCCAAAACAAATGCAACCATAAAACGTGAGCCTGAAGAGGCATCAACAGTTCCTCTCAGCGGCAAGAGCAGATTCAGCCTCATCCTCTCCGCGCTGAGACCGAGTTTCCTCACCGCTGAGCGTGACTGCGCTAATACAAAACACATTCCTTCACGTTTAGCCACAGGACCGCCAGCGTTTAGGGATTTACCACTAATATTTTCGTGCTAGAGGTTTTAAATAAAGGAAGCCCAACTTTGCAGGGCGGTGTTTCTGCGAGCAGCGGGAAGGGAGGCAGACGGCGGAGCCCGAGCGCGGGCACTGCCTGCGGGAGCCGTGCCCGGAGCGTGAC